TGCTGTGAGAGTGGTGAGAGCCTGGCCCAGGTTGCCCAGAGAAGCTGTGGCTGCCCCATCCCTGGAGGGGTTCAAGGGCAGGTTGGCGGGGGCTTGGAGCAACCTGGGCTGGTGGGAGGTGTCCCTGCCCAGGGCAGGGGGTGGGTCTGGGGGGGCTTTAAGGTCCCTTCCAACCCAATCCATTCCATGATTCTATGAATTTGGAAATCTGAATTCTAGCCTTAAGATGATTTTCATTTCTGCATCAAGCTTTTCATGTGTGCTTACCACAAAAAGACAGAAGTCTAGGATGTAAGTCTTAATCACACTCTAGGTGTGGTCACAGAATGATCTGGGGTTGGCAGGGACCTCTGGAGACCCCCCAGTCCAACCCCCTGCCAGAGCAGGTCCCACCCAGAGCAGGTCCCACAGGAACGTGTCCAGGTGGGTTTGAATGTCTCCAGAGAAGGAGACTCCACCACCTCCCTGGGCAGCCTCTGCCAGGGCTCTGCCACCCTCACAGCAAAGAAGTTCCTCCTCATGTTTAGGTGGAGCTTCTCATGTTCCAGTTTGTGCCCATTTCCTCTTGTCCTGTCCCTGGGCACCACAGGAAAAAGCCTGGCCCCATCCTCCTGACACCCACCCTTGATCAGATCCCCCCTCAGACTTCTCTTCTCCAGACTAAAAAGCCCCAAGTCCCTCAGCTTCTCCTCGTTAAGAGAGATTCTCCAGTCCCTCATCATCCTCGCAGCCTCTGCTGTCCCCTCTCCAGCAGTTCCCTGTCCTTCTGGAACTGGGGAGCCCAGAACTGGTCCCAGTGCTCCAGCTGGGGCCTCCCCAGGGCAGAGCAGAGGGGCAGGATGACCTCCCTCCAGGTTCTCCATGTTCTTCCTGACAGAACCACAGAATCCCATGGAGTTGGAAGGGACCTCTGGAGACCCCCAGTCCAACCTCCTGCCACAGCAGGTCCACCCAGAGCAGGTCCCACAGGAACGTGTCCAGGGGGAGGTTGAATGTCTCCAGAGAAGGAGACTCCACCACCTCCCTGGGCAGCCTCTGCCAGGGCTCTGCCACCCTCACAGGAAAGAAGTTCCTCCTCATGTTATGGTGGAACTTCCTTGGACTAGATGACCTCCAGAGGTCCCTTCCGACCCCAGATCATTCTGGGATTCCGTTTGCAGCAAAAGTGTGGGAATCACCAAAATGCATGTTTTTGCCTTTGTGGCAAAATGCGTACTTAACAAAAAAATGTCTGGAACTTGTAAATAATCCATCTTGTCTGGAAAAATGTCTTTTGCTAATTACGGTTGGACCAGATGATCTAAAAGGTCCCTTCCAACCAGGGCAATTCTGTGATTGATGTTTACAGTTACCATAAATACATTGCAATAGTATTTTATTTCCAACTGATAACTACAAATAGAGCCTGTATATTACTTTTAGAGGCCTTCTAAATACTTTTAAGCTTACAACACTTAAGGTGTTATAAAAGACCAGCGATAACTTGTTTCTTAGTGGAGAGGACTGAAGGAATTAATCTGATTTTAGAACTTTTCTTAATACCCTGCATTAAGCCTGTTACGCTCGTGCCTCTGCTGTCACCAGTATAAACCAGTTTTCTCTGCTTCCTCCTCCACTCCTGGCTTTTGGTCTTGAAGTGTATGTTCTGATGGTGTGAAATGGATTTAACTCCATTCACCAGAGAGTGGTGGGGAATGGAGTTAAATCCAGCTGGCGTCCAGTCACGAGTGGTGTCCCCAGGGCTGGGTACTGGGGCCAATTCTCTTTAACATCTTTATCAATGATCTGGACGAGGGGATCGAGTGCACCCTCAGTAAGTTCACAGACGACACCAAGCTGGGTGGGAGTGTTGATCTGCTGGAGGGTAGAGAGGCTCTGCAGAGAGATCTGGACAGGCTGGATCCATGGGCCGAGACCAACGGGGTGAGGTTCAACAAGGCCAAGTGCCAGGTCCTGCCTTTGGGTCACACCAACCCCCTGCAGCGCTCCAGGCTGGGGGCAGAGTGGCTGGAGCTGCCTGGAGGAAAAGGACCTGGGGGTGTTGGTGGCCTGTCGGCTGAACAGGAGCCAGCAGTGTGCCCAGGTGGCCAAGAAGGCCACCAGCATCCTGGCCTGTGTCAGGAACAGTGTGGGGAGTAGGGCCCGAGAGGTGATGGTCCCCCTGTACTGGGCACTGGTGAGGCCTCACCTCGAGGGCTGTGTCCAGTTTTGGGCCCCCTACCATAAAAAAGACATTGAGGGGCTGGAGCGGGTCCAGAGAAAGGCGACAAAGATGGTGAGGGGTCTGGAGAATAAGTCTAATGAGGAGAGGCTGAGGGAGCTGGGGGTGTTCAGCCTGGAGAAGAGGAGGCTGAGGGGAGACCTTCTTGCTCTCTCCAACTCCCTGAAAGGAGGGTGTAGAGAGGTGGGGGTCGTTTTTGTCAGTCAGGTTGACGGTTGGACAAGATGATCTCTAAGGTCCCTTCCAACCTAGAAGATTCTGTGATTCTGTGAAATGAAGGATTTCTGGTAGGAATAACACCATGTCCCCTTTTCCCCACCCCCAGCATCCGGGAGAAGGCCGTGAGGGAGCTCCTAAACCGTCACTGCGTCCTCTGCGAGACCCCCGAGTCTTGGGCCAAGGAGACCTTCCTGACACAGAGACTCTGCGTCCCCCCGGAGTGGATTCACGAAGCGAAGGCGGTTCGAGCCAGGATGGAGGGTGACAAGCACAAAGAAGCCCTTTTCTTGTTCAAGGCTGGGCACTGGAACCAGTGTCACAAGCTGGTTGTCCGGCACTTAGCCTCAGGTGAGTCTCCTAGGGAGCTGCAGGGCACCAAAGGACCTGGGGGTGTTGGTCAACAGGGCCTGAATATGATCCAGCAGCATGGATCCTGGCCTGCATCAGGACCAGTGTGGCCAGCAGGACTGGGGCAGTGACCATCCCCCTGGACCGAGCACTGGGGAGGTCCCACCTCAAGGGCTGGGTCCAGTTTTGTGCCCCTCCTGAGAGGAAAGACCTTGAGGGGCTGGAGCGTGTCCAGAGAAGGGCAACAGAGCTGGTGAGGGGTCTGGAGCACAAGGAGAAGGGTCTGGAGAACTTGTGAGGGAGCTGGGGGTGTTGAGCCTGGAGAAAAGGAGGCTGAGGGGAGACCTTCTGGCTCTCTCCAACTCCCTGAAAGGAGGGTGTAGCCAGGGGGGGTCGGTCTCTTCTCCCAAGGAACAGCCCATGGGACAAGAGGAAATGTCCTCGCTGTGCCAAGAGCTGCCTCAGGGAGCAAGGGTAGCGGTGGCTTCTCTGGAGCCCTGATCCCGGGGGTCTCTCTGCTCTGGGAAATGGGATGGCCTTAAATTTACCTTTTGTAGCTCAAATCAAGTAAGTGTTTCTGGCCGTGGCTGCTGGTGCCAAGGAATTACCAAACTCTGCTCTGCACTGGTGAGGCCACAACTAGAGTACTGCGTCCAGTTCTGGGCTCCCCAGTTCAAGAGGGACAGGGAACTGCTGGAAAGAGTCCAGCGTAGGGCTACAAAGATGATTCAAGGATTGGAGCATCTCCCTGATGAGGAGAGACTGAGAGAGCTGGGACTCTTTAGCCTGGAGAGGAGAAGGCTGAGGGGAGACCTTCTCAATGCTGACAAGTATCTCAAGGGAGGGTTGAAGGAGGAGGGAACCAGACTCTTTTCAGTGGTTCCCAGTGAGAGGACAAGGGGCAACGGGCACAAGTTGGACCAGAAGAGGTTCCACTCCAATGTGAGGAGAAACTTCTTCACGGTGAGGGTGGCAGAGCCCTGGGACAGGCTGCCCAGGGAGGGTGTGGAGTCCCCTTCTCTGGAGATCTTCAAGCCCCACCTGGATGCTCCTGAGGAACATGCTCTGCCAAGCTCTGGGTGGTCCTGCTTCAGCAGGGGAGTTGGACTAGATGATCTCGATGGTCCCTTCCAACTCTAAAATTCAGTGAAATTCAGTGAAACTCACCCAGAGTACAGTCCATTCGTTGCTTTTTCTCTCTCAATCCATGTTCCTGACCGGTAGGAAACCCTTTTGCTCCGTTTCTTAATGTGCTTTTTTCTCTTCAGATGCCATTATTAACGAGAACTACAAGTACCTGAAAGGATTCCTGGAGGATCTGGCCCCTCCGGAGCGCAGCGCCCTCATCCAGGACTGGGAGGTGGCGGGGCTGGTCTACCTGGATTACATCTGCGTTATCGAGGCGCTCGACAGGATTCAACAGGTAACAGACTAAAAAAAATTGCATTTTTCCTTTTTTTTGTCCTCTACGGTTTGGCAGCTGATGCAGGGTCTGGCTTTTAGAAGAACCTGATGTTGGTGTTTCCTTTCCCAGATGATGGGACATCTAAAAATACAGAGAGATTTGGTGTGGATACTGTGGAAATAAGATGTGCAAACGTGTTCTGTGGAGCATGGTGGTGAGATAAGGAGGAGCCAAACCAGGAGTTAGCAATTTAGTGGGGGACTCTGTGTGTCAGCCCCCTCAAATTGAGTTCCAGACCTCCCATTTCCCCCAGTTCAGGGGTTAAGAGGCAAACAGGTTGTAGCACTATTGCCTTCTGCTGGGTAGATGTGGTTTGGGGTGTGCTGGGGCCTGTGGGCAGTTGTGCTGATGATGAGGGGCCTGGAGCATCTCCCTTAGGAGGAAAGGCTGAGGGACTTGGGTCTTTTTAGTCTGGAGAAGAGAAGGCTGAGGGGGGATCTGATCAACACCTTCAAGGGTGGGTGTCAGGAGGATGGGGCTGGTCTTTTTTCGGTGGTGCCCAGGGACAGGCCAAGAGGAAATGGGCACAAACTTGACCATAAGAAGTTCCACCTCAACATGAGGAGGAACTTCTTCACTGTGAGCGTGGCAGAGCCCTGGCAGAGGCTGCCCAGGGAGGTGGTGGAGTCTCCTTCTCTGGAGACACTCAAACATCCACCTGGACACGTTCCTGTGGGACCTGCTCTGGGTGGCCCTGCTCTGGCAGGGGGTTGGACTAGATGATCTCCAGAGCTTCCTTCCATCCCCATGTGATTTTGTGATTGTGCTGAAGGGCGTTGGGTGTCTCAGGGGCCAACTTTCTCCTTTTGCTTTCAGATGGACGGTTCCACCTACGAGCTGGAGTGGTTGCACACCAAAGTCACGTCGCTCTGCAACAGGATTGACCAGATCCAGTGCCACAACGCCAAGGACCGCCTGGCCCAGTCGGGTACGGTGACACCCCCATCTCCCAGGCCCCCAGGAAAGGTGTTTTTCCAGCTGGTACTGGTGTCAACTGGGCTGCCAGTGCCTCTGTCCCTCTGCGTGGAGGGATGAAGAACAGCCCTGGGGAAAAAGGACTTAGGGTCATCAGCCATTGGAATGGGCTGCCCAGGGAGGTGGTGGAGGCCCCATCCCTGGAGGTGTTCAAAAGCCGGGTTGATGTAGTGCTGGGAGGTCTGGTTTAGTGATGATGCTCCTTGTTTGTTGTGTGGGTGTCTATTTTTGTCAGTCAGGTTGATGGTTGGACAAGATGATCTTTAAGGTCCCTTCCAACCTAG